CGCTGGGTGCACGCTGCCCGGACCCGGCGCCGGCCCTGCTCAGGGGCAGGAGACGCCCCTTGCCAGGGGGGGAGGGGGGGAGAAAGAGGGGTTCGTGTCCGTGTCCTCGAGGCTCGGCCCCTCGGGGGAGCTGGGGGTGAAACTCGGGGTTCGCTCTGCTTGGTCGGGATGGGGGCTCCCAAGTGGGGGGTAGGTGGTGGGGGTCCCCACAGCCGGGGACGCTCACAGGCCGTGGACGGGCCCGGCGTGGCTGAGCAGAATGGAGTGGGAACGCTCCCCTTCCCGCTCGCCGCCTGCTCCTCGCGCTTGTCTTCCCGCTTCACCCCTCGAGGGCGAAGGGGCCCCTGGGCGGTGGGAGAGGGAGAATCTGCGTCTGGAAGGGGAGGGCAGACAATGGGGGTTGTAAAATTGAAGTCGTCCTGCGGCGGGGTTCTTGTTAAACAAGCATCTACATTAAATTTCAGAGCAGATCCTCATGTGACGCTCGCTCTGTCGTTTCATTTGTCTCGGCCGCCCGGGAAGAGCGCGTGGTCTGGCTGCGCAGTCGTTTGTCTTAATTTATTTATGTTTGGTTCCCCGCGTGCAGCTGCTGTGGGAGGTCTGTGGGATTCCTGGGGTAGAGCAAAGCCTCTGCTTGTGCTGGAAGCCCACACAGCGGCTGGGGGGGGGCCGACCTGTTCCTGTGCCCTGGCTGTAGCGTGATCCCTTAGGCCGGGCCTTTGAAGAGCTCAGTTATTATTTTTCAACGTTAACTGCTCGGGATTGTCACTAAGACAAATCTCCCCGGTAGCCTCTGAACCACTGCCGCGAGGATGGGTCTGCGCAGCCTCGGGTCGGTGTCAGTCCCACATCGAGCTCTGGATTTACACCGGACCTGCTGGAGAGCAGCTCTGCGGAGAGGGACTGGGTGTCCTGGGGAATGACAGGGTGACCATGAGCCAGGAGTGTGCCCTGGCTGCCCAGAAGGCCAATGGGATCCTGGGGTGCATCAAGAGGAGTGTGGGCAGCAGGGCAAGGGAGGTTCTCCTCCCCCTCTGCTCTGCCCTAGTAAGGCCCCATCTGCAGCGCTGTGTCTAGTGCTGGGCTCCCCAGTTCAAGAAAGATGAGGAGCTGCTGGAGAGAGTCCAGCGCAGGGCTGCGAGGGTGGGG